GGCTGGATGGTCTCACTCAAAGAGTTGCGGTCAACGGCTCCATGTCCAAGTGGTGAGCAGTGATGAATGGTGTTCCTCAGGGGTCAGTACTGGGACCAGTACTATTTAACAACTGTGTTGGTGACATGGATGTTGGGATTGAGTGCACCCTCAGCAAGTTTGCTGATGACACCAAGCTGTGTGGAGTGGTCAACATGATGGAGGGAAGGGTTGCCATCCAGAGGAACCTGGACAGGCTTGAGAGGTGGGCCTGTGCAAACTTCATGAAGTTCAATGAGGCCAAGTGCAAGATCCTTACATGTGGGTTGGGGCAATCTCAAGCACAAATACAGGCTGGGTGGAGAATGGATGAAGAACAGCCCTGAGGAGAGGGACTTGGGGGTGCTGGTGGATGAGAAGCTAAACATGAGCTGGCAATGTGCACTTGCAACCCAGAAGGCCAACCATATCCTGGGCTGCATCAGAAGAATTGTGGCCAGCAGGTCGAGGGAGCTGATTCTGCCCCTCTACTCCACTCTCATGAGACCCCACCTGGAGTACTGTGTCCAGCTCTGGAGTCCCCAACATAAGAAGGACATGGACCTGTTGGAGCAAGTCTAGAGGAGGGCCCTGAAAATGATCAGAGGGATGGAGCACCTCTGCTATGAGGACAGGCTGAGAGAGTTGGGGTTGTTCAGCCTGGAGAAGAGAAGGCTCCCATGAGACCTTATAGCAGGTTTCCAGTATCAGAAGGGGCTTACAAGAAAGCTGGAGAGGGACTTTTTAGAAGGTCGCGTAGCTATAGCTACGTGATGATGGCTTCAAACTGAAAGAGGGTAGATTTTAGGAACAAATTCTTCACTAGGAGGGTGGTGAGGCACTGGAAGAGGTTGCCCAGGGAAGTTGTAGATGCCCCATCCCTGGAAGTGTTCAAGGCCAGACTGGATGGGGCTTTGAGCAACCTGGTCTAGTGAAAGGTGTCCATGCCCATAAGTCCTGGTTTGAGGTAAAACAGGACTCATTTTCTGGTAAGTAACTTTGCTTTATATCTAGGCCTCTTCTAACTACTGAAATTAGCAGCATATTTTGCAGACACTATTCGTTCTGAGGGTGGTAAGACCTATGCTTATAGCTGATGCCAAAGAATGATATGCAGAGAGGTTCTTGCTTAGATTTATTGCTCTAACACCCAAGGCAGCTCACTTGGTTACATGCCCCACTGGAGGGCTGGAAGCGGAAAAGCGTAGAGGGGAGAGCGGACAGGACAGGTGACCCCAAACTGACCAACAGGGTATTCCATCCCATCTGTCTCATGCTCAGTAGAAAAGCTGAGGGATCAAAGTGCCAGCCCTCTTTCTTCAATGGCCGGCATCCAAGGAGGACTCTGTTCGTCTGCCTTTGATCCCTATCCTGAATCCAGATCTGGAACCCAGTTCCCGTCTGTCACTGAGTCCAGTCTGGGACTTCCCCAGTGCCAGCCAGTGACATGACTGTCATCCTGGGAGCTTGATACGGTTTTGTATATATTTCATTATTTCCTTTTTATTTTATTATTAATATTTCATTAAAGTAGTTTACTTTCTTCTAAATTCATGTCTCTCTCCCTCCTGCCTCTCTTTGGAGAGGTTGGGTAGACCATCTGTCAGTTGCCCAGTGGCTGGTTCGGCCCAAACCACGACACCATGGCAGGGAGGTTGGAACGAGATGACCTTTAAAGTCCCTTCCAACCTAAACCATTCTATGATTCTATGATATACATATATTGATGACTGGGCTCCAAACACTTCTGAAATGACAACAGAAGGTGGTATTGGATAGGAAAAACAAATGTATAAAAAGCTTGTGTGCAGGTAGTGAGAACTGGGACCTACTGTGTAACGACAATGATGGGGAAATGTTACTTCAGTGACAGAATTGGGCACACGATGGCTATGGTTTGGTGAAGTACATAAATAAAGGAGACAGGCTCCGATGAGCGGTGGAGTGGCCCACATGGTGTACGTGTACTTGAGTTGGACAAGGAAAAGATGATTTGGAGGCTCTGCTCAGGAGAGAAACAAAAGAAATAATGCACAGCCTTCCTCCTATTTTAATTTTTGTATCACGTAAACACACCTATTTTTTTCCATGGTATCAATTTGACTTGAAGGTTTAGCTAGCAGGGAACATTTCTACTTAAAGAAAATCTGTTTTTAAGAAGTTCTATATGCGCTTTTGTTTTATAATTAAAAATGATTCACCAATGTTTTCCTTTTGGCTAAGCCTGATTTAATAATTTATGGGATACTTCTCATGCTGAATTTTCAGCTACATGAGGAGATCCACTTTCTTAACAGGACCACTATATATTCATTCTCCGACTTGTCATCTACTGCAATGTTCACTGTAGTAAAAATAGGCAGAGCTGAGAAATCTTTAGGTACAGCTCCAGGTTTGTGTGTGTGGATTTTCACGCTTGTAAGATAGTCACCTATTCTGCAAGCAGTAGTGCCGAGAAGGAAACTTGAGACTTTCCACCCTCCGCAGAGGATGTTACTATCTAACACATATGCACAAAACCCGACAGTGAAAGTATCTGAACGCGTGGAGTTTTTCACATCTCAGCGCTAAGCGACACTGTTCCCTTGTCTTTCCCCCTCCCCAGCACACATGCACAAGGAGAAAAACTTGGCCACTACCTGATGCTTTTTGCTTTTATCACAGGTCCCACTACCTCCCCTACACAGAGCGGTGATGTCTTCCCATTCTTTTAAGAACTGCTGAGGGGAAGTCGAGAAGAAAAAAGTAAAACTACCAGTCTTTAAATTGAAATGACTGTTCTTACCTGTTTTTAAACAAACATCAGACCTTAGGAGCCGTTTTCCCTGGACAGCAGCAATAGTACACGCTCAGAAAGCTTAATGAAGCAAGGCATGCTGTATGCCCCTTCTGTGCTCACTTCCATGCCTGGTACTCCTTCAGAAACCAGCACCGCCCAGTAAGTTCAAAAGCCTCAGTGGGAGTCCGATCTTCGCTTCTGTGCTGAGAAATCCCTTCCTGGCAGCAGGTCCTTGCTAGCTACCTAAGGTACAGAAGTAGGTCATGAAGATAGGATAAAGCAACTAGTCAAGAGATGTGGGTCACTTAATAAAGGGTTAAAAGCCATTTCACAAAGCATATTTCCCAGGATGCTCCTGCATCTTGAAAAAAGCATAAGTTAGTGGGAGTGAGTGACAACTTAATTCGTCAAAAGACTTCCTGCTGGCAGGTTAACCAGGGCATTTAACTTATCATCTGTTAAATTTTCAGCTTCTATTTCTCTCTCGCACTTAGTGTGGAGAGGTTTATGACCAGTTCACCAGATACAGCTACCTGAATGAGCAGGAGTCTTCTTCTAGACAGAAAGCAGGCTCAATGGCTTCGGGGTTGCAATGGTTTGGTGCCTCTCAAAAACCCCTGTACTAGGCAACGCCCCACCCTGGGTTGGATAGCAGGGGTTTGGAGAGCTACCAGAAAAATTAAAGTCAAAGTAAGAATTATCTGTGCAGTAACGGTCGTTAGAGAACTGCTTGACTTTAGTTCTGGCAGCACACTGCCTGCTACCTGGGCCTCTTGTGTGCAGCACTCACTGTAGGCTTTCAAAGCTCTCGTTGACGTGGAGAGGTCTCCACTGGCAGCAGACCCCTAGAGAGACGCAGCTCAGTCTGGTGGAGAGCCCTCGCTCAGTGTTTACACAGCAGTCCAGATGATATTGGGTCTAGTGGAGTGCTGATCACTTTTAGGACTCCTGCCCAGACACACACACCACCAGCTAAACCGAAAGCAGCAGCCATAAAATAAAACTAGGAAGAGGATACAGCCTTTCGCACCAAAAAGCTTCTCAAGCTTTACACGTATGGAATCACTCCGTAAGCACTATGAGACAGCTGCTGTGCCAGGCATGCCGCATCCAACAAGCAGCAGAACATTGCTGAGCTAACAGCAACCTACCCAGTTTTGCTCACTGGCTGTGTTTACATTCAGAGCTTCAATGCTGCCACAGAGCTGTGTGAATGGCAGAGACCATCAGCCAGAATGAGTCCCTACTGAAATTTGTGCTGTCAAGTCATTTGCAGCACCACAGTGACCTGAAAAGTTGGTATTATTTCAAATTATTTCAACTGAGTTTAATTTAAGAAAACACAAAACATACCCCGCAGACCCCTGATATTTTAGTATTTAACTGCAAAAAGTTATCCTCTGATAGCTGGGGAGGCTGCATTTAAGTTGCTGAAAAAAAGTATTTTGACTTCCCATTTTACGAGCTCTAGTAGTTCTTCTTTTATTATACAATGCAACTCACTTGGAGACATCCTGCTTGTTTTCACGGAGAGCTACATTAGGCAGGTCACTGTAGACTCCAGCTATGTGGCACCTCTGTAAATGTCCAGCAAGTTTGACATTTTCTCACAGAAAACACTATTTTTGTCTTATGGACCTTGGACTCTGAAGTTGAAAAGCAGTATTAATCTGAAAAGATTCTCCTGTTTTCTCAGTCTTAATTTTATTGCCATTATGAAGCTTTGAAAACTAAGCTGTTCTTTGTGAACGAGCCGAGATTCCATTGAAATATATCTCTGTGGCAAAATTAAGTATTTCTGCACCAGAAAGTACTTTCTTTTAACCATGACATCTGAATTAATGAGTCCTTTTTTGCTAACATGTTTTAAAAGGATTTGTCTCTCCAGTTTCTAACAATTGAGAATAAACCATGATTCTAGCCTCAGAAATTCAACACCAGAGCAATAACTCTTACAGTATCTTCAGAGGTCAGTCAAAGAGACCCAAGAAAATATCAGAACGTTAAGAGTTCACATACCAAAGAAAAGGGAATCTTCTGAGCCAGTGCTTCTTGTCTCTGCCTCAGTTACCTGCCTGAATCTACAGATTTGCAGTTGCTTTCGATGTTTTTCATTGTTTTCAGAGAGAGTAAAGGAAAGATAATACAGAAAGGTACCTTGTATTTGATGGAAGCAAATGAACAAGAAAGTGAAACAAAGCGTACAAAATGAATTTTTATTAAATGAAAGAAAATCTGTTTTGTGGGTCAAATATGAAATAGAATATACAAAAACTTTACATCGGATCTCTTGTCAAAGAAATTAAATCCTATCTAGACTGAAGTAGCACTCGTTCTTTCCAAGACAACACGAATGGGTGAGTATGTTTCTTATGGCAGTACAGGATCACACAGTATGCTGTACTAAAGTTCCGGTTACAGAGAAGAAAAGTTAAAAATCTAAATGATGTCCCTAAAGAACCCAACTATTCCACAAAGTAACTTAAGAACATGAGTTTTGATCATTATGTATTCTCTTAGAAGCAAATGACAGGTGGGTCAAGTGCAGAGTTCACAAAGCTTGCATATCACGTTCTCTGTTTCTATACAAATATAAATCGTTCTTTTTTATTTTAAAAATCCTTTTATATTTGATAGCATTTATTTGTGGAAAAGGATGATGAGTTCATCAGGTTCCTGCTGTACTACCCAGACAATCCAATCTCCTTCAGCTCCTTCTTTTTTGTGAAGACCATTACCCATAAACCAGACTGCAGTATTTTAAAAAAGTTGCTGTTTGTTTAATCACAAATCTTTGTATCACTGTTCCGTATATGAAGGTTCTGCAGAGCTCCTAGCATGTCTTTGGCATAGCACACCAAGTCCCATTTAATACTTTTTTTGTTTAAAAAAGTATATTTTCCTTTAGTAAAACACCTTAAAAACATCTATTTCCGATTTTGTAAAATAATGTGTCACCTCTCGTTCTGCTTTGCAAAATATACACACACATTTTGGAAAAACATTGAGTACTGACATAAGGGATTCATCTGAAGTCCAATCATCTGTTTATGACAAGTAAAATATAATTACAAATTCCATCTTCGGCATGAATGTCACATGAAGTCATTCAATTCAGCTTCAAGTGCTGCTGCCATTTCATCTGCTTCAGAACTGCTTCCTTCCTCATCTTCATTGCTAGATTCTTTACTGGATTCACTGGCAGCATCATCTTCATCCAGTTTGCGCTTTTGACCCCTGGAAGGGTAAACAAAGATAACGCCCATGAATCGAGGTATCTCATTGCTTGTTAACGCAGACCGCTATTTAACAGAAGAAAAAAAAGGGGCTAAAGGACTCAACCTTTTTTCAGGTCTAGACACAAAGTATTGCACTTGCTTTTAAATGAATGGACAGTAGTTAGTTCATACAATTGATTTTTTAATTGCTGTTATTTACTGTCAGCTGTAGGTGCAAAATACCGTTAATTTATTTCTCCAATTCTTCTGAACAAGGAATGAAAACAGAGTATAAGACTGTTTGAAAATGAGTTGATTTACGTTCCTCTCACATCCCAAAAGCAAGAAGAAATCCATCATGTGAACAAGAGATTACCAAAATACATTATATGTTGCTATAGGATTTTGAAATATCCAAGTTTCTCCTTTTTTTATAAAAATAAAACCGTAACTGATTAACCAGATCTCACTGCACCAGTTTCTACACTTTCATGCTTCAAAACGTAGGAGGGGCCTTATTCTTCCCTTATATATCTCTTTGGATTAGTACTGCCAGGCTGAACAACACATTTCTTAGCATCTCCAGAGAATTAACCAGTTTAAACAGGAAGCTGATGTGCACCATACCCTGCCGAAAGAATCACGTTCCTGGTTGTGAAAGATCTCCAAGGAAAATCTAACACTTCAACTGGGACATAGACATAAGCAAAAGAATTTGGATTTGTGGAATCCTAAAATCTCTTTTCCTTGCCAAAAGGGAATTTTATATCAGACATGTACTTCTGAGACAAAAATAGAGTTGAGACTTTGCATTGCACAGAATTCATTATGAGCTGTAGAAACACCTTTAAAATCCTTCCTTGATCATTTGATCAAATTTCAAGCAGAGAAATATATGCAAAGGGGCTCTCTCTTAAATAACTGCCCTTTTCATTGCTAGGTGGGGTTTCATTAAGAGGAGAATGCATCCACTTGGAATCATGAAAAATTAAGAAAATGCTCTTTATCTTTTAGCAAAAAGGAGTAATTTAACAACGGTCCCTTTAATTCTGAGAGTACAGAGAAGTAGCAAGACAGACCTTCGATAAGTACTGTTCTAAACTATGTATATCCAAAAGAAAGGAATACAAAGATTAACAGTCAAATTTGTGACCTTGTAAGCAACATTGAAATACAAAGCAATTTTTATTTATACGGACATTCTTATCACCATTTTCTGAGACACCATAATTGTGAGGAGCGCAGACTACTCGATTCGTAGGCTGGGTGAGTGACGCCTGACCTCCTCTTTCTCAGCTTTTCAGGGAGATGGACAAGATGGGGTGTGGAGTCAGGAAGAGAGTCTGAATCAAAACAGGAGGCAGACAGAACTATGTTACCCTGTTTTTCCTTTCAGCTGCACCAGTGGGACCAAAAGATACACTGCTGTTGCTTTACCAGGTGCTTCCTCACCGTGATGTTAGGTGGGTTCTTCTGTTCAGTATAGGGTGGTAGGAGTAATACTCCAGGGAGGTAAGGCTGAAACCCTGGGATTCAGTCTGGGGTCAAAATCCCTAACAAGGGAAAGTGGGATGAGGTGAAAGCATTTCCTGAATGTTTTGCTATTGAAACTCAAACGTGGCCCGCTGAGGGAGATGCAGGGCACTAAATGCAGCCTAATACACAATAAAAAGCAGTTTCTCAGGCGTAACGCTGATTTCCATGCAGCCGACATTAGCGCACAGTTCGGACGAGGAAGCACTCAGCCTAAAAATGCCCAGTTGGAAGAAATCTTAGCACATTTCCATTAAAAGCTGTACAAATGCATGGAGCTTGAGTTTCACTCGTTCATTTCATGATGATTTTAGCCTTCAGAGATACAGCATTATTTTAGGCATTAATGATACCATTAGCTGGAGAAAAGCTAATTGGGAATTAAAGAAAGTTGAAAAAAGTTGTGCGTATTTAACAAGTAGTAGATATGAAGTACACACGTCGTGCCAACCGAAAAATAACAATACATAGATATGGAGGGAATCTATAGCACAATGTTCATAGCTTAGAACGTTCGTATTCATCTGTTTGTAACTGATGGTATCTACCAACTGAAAAATAAAATTAACAGCCTGACAGCTATAATTTACACACGTGAAACACGTACACACAACTGCAGATGATGTATTAAAGAACGTGGCAGGACAAGCAGGTTTTTAGAGCCAGCCCAGATACTCTGAGTTTTCTGGGACCTAAATCAATAGCAAAGATCCTGTAGAAAAAAGGTCTATGAAGAAACAATCTCTCACTGCCAGCTGATTATTTCTTAGAAGTGAGGAACAGTTCATTTACTAAATAATTAAGGCAAAGACAAGCAAAATTACTGATTTATGCAACAAAGCCACCTTTTTATTTAAATTTAAATCTACTCCATAGCAACCAGGTTTCAGTGAGGACAACCAACAAAACACAGGGACCTGAAATACTCAGTGTAACTAATTAGTTTAAAGAATGGAGTTCCAGTCTACAAGGAGATCTTCCAGAGAACTTTAAGGGACAGTCCTGACCTATTTTAATCTCTCATTTGGTTGTAATAAACAGTACCTTTGTAAATGCAAAAGACTGAACGTGATCTATTCTGTCAGTTTTTGTTCTTTTGGCAAGGCTAGAATGACAGCTCTATTCAATCTAGATATGAAAACTTCCTCACTCATGGGGAGGAAAAAAACTTCAAAAACGAAAAAAAACCAAACACAGTTAAGTGTTAGTCCTCTGCCAGAAGAAACAAAAAATCTCTCGAGAATGTAAGTATTGTTCTTATTAAGATATGAACACCTTTCACTATTTGTGTACTATAAACTGCAGCTTCATACCTATTCCTAAAACATTTAAATGAGTATTATGAAATCAAATGCAAAGCTAACTGTGATAGAAGTATGGAGGAAGAAAATCAGCAACATAATGCTGCATTTTTTATTTGCAAATTCAGAAAAGAGAGATAACATCCCATTAATCATTTCTATCTTCAGAGAAAAGCAGTATATCCCCATGGCAGCATATTTATTAACACAAAAGCCAATTTAAAATGTATATTTTCCTCATTATTTTGTGCCCAGTCCTTGTCATTTCCAGTTTCAGAGCCATAGTGCATAACACTTTTGAGTGGAAAAATTAAGCGTGTAGAGGATTCCTTCTTAATATTTAGAGAAAATGATTCAGCAGTATGTTGCAGGTTTCCATTGGTGTAATTTGTATTTTTAAAAGGAACTTTGCTTGACTGATACTAAAAAACAAACATATGGATAATAACTGAATATCTTTAACCTCGTAAATGAACAATTAAAATTTCCAAAAGACTGAACTTAGAACTTTAAATACCTGACAACTCTGTGAAAAAACTTGTACAATACATATGTACATACATATTTCCTTTGCATTAAATATTTTTCCTTTTTAATACCCAGTACTAGGAGGCCAACCAGTTCACATAATGAAGAAACCTTTTTAAAAGAGAACTACTTTTTTTGAATTATCAAGATATTTAAATAAACTACAAATATAATTCATAATGACGTCATAATAAAAAACCACTTGTAATTATACATGTACAGAAGTTATTTTTAGGAGAATTTAATCTACAGAATGCTAATGGGAAATATACCTAGTAGTATTCCAAATGAAGAGACAGGAAGAGAAGACGTTACAGAGTTCCAGTAGAGCATGGTGTATGCATGTGAAAAATAGCACAAGGATAATGACTGAAAACAAAAATTTATTCAGTTCTTGATCTGTTAAGCTGATCACTAAAATACGATTACAACTATAGGCTGAATGAAAACTTCATTCTTGTAATTTCAATTTAAGTTTAGTTCACGAAAAAGCCATAAGGAAGAAAGCAATGAAAAGAAGTCCAGTATTTGTGGCTTCTATTATTTTAAGGCCTTAATTTATAGTTCGCGGAAAACAAATAATGTTGGAAAAAACATTTTTTCTAATAATTGAAAAGCAAATTGTCTCCGGTCTGTTTTGCATCCCAATGGCACCCTTTTAAGAAATACAGGGCTACATTAAAATAGAAGCACCTAAAAGGAACTCAAAGAGCAACATAACCCTTGTTTCAAACAAAGCAAACCTACGCCTTTTCCAAATTTTATTTTAAACCTGCAAAAGAAAACTACAGCAAGTATTTAAAGAAGCATTCACATATACTTTAAACTCCAAATACCCCCAACCCCCATTCCTACTCTGATAAGAAGTATATTTCTAAATTATTGCAAATTGACTTGTTTTTTTCAATGGCTCCTAAAATTGGTACAGTAACAAAGGAAGGTCTGCAGACTGAATGTGTTTAGTCTTTTACAAGCAAGCAGCTTATAGCGTTGACATCAGAAATCAGGAGTTAAGTTTGGTACCAAATACAGTCGAGTTACTCTCTAATAAGAATACTCACACCGCAGCCGTAAGCAGTTTGGAAGGCAATGGTTTGAAAAGGGCATTTTGAAAGAGCTCGCTGCCTCCCAACAACATTACAACCCTGCAAGACTACCTACGCTGCCGCAGGCACGCCTCTGAAGTCCGATGTGGAAGGTCTGTCCCAGTTTCCACACACACCTAAGCCTACAGCTTTCCGTAAACTTCCATAATGGAGAGAAGGATGACTTTGGTAACGCAACAGGAATTTGACTCCCTTCCACAAGAATTTGACTATGAGAACAATTTATTTAGATAAAATATATCTGTCACAATGTCCTCCAGCTGTTACGAATTAGAGCTGGTAAACCAGGAAAACTTTTCTTCAATCAAATTTTAAGACGCCAGCCCAGTACACGGCTAACAAGGTTAAAGGACGTGAGATCTGAGAACATATACATTGAAAATCAATGTTGTAAGCATTAATACATTACATTGGACAGACAAGATGGTTATATTTTCAGGGAGATGTTCCAAGTTTTGCAGCTGTATTTTCTTAACGTGGGATACATGGCAACATCTTTTATGTACGCTTGATACAAGAGTGAGCAATTGTCCATAGCAGGGCTGTAAAAC